CCTGCATGTTCATTGGATTACCAGAAAATACACAACACAGAGTTTGTGAAAAAAAATTTAATAATTATTATTTATTCATTTTAGATGTTTACATTTGGAAAAGCTGTGCTTCCTGCATAAACCTTCCCGTTGGTTTGGCAGTAGCTTGCTTGCCCTACTCAGTTACCTTGTTTAGTTTCTTAATTCAAGTTATATATATATTGTTCTATTTGTGTTATTTGTAATAAGTGAAGTGACGGAATGGGAAGTGTGTCCAAACTTTTGACTATACTGTACTATAATATAGCCCACACATAAAGAATATCGACCGATATATCGGTATCGGTTTTTTTTTACTCCCTAATATCGGTATCGGCCCCCCCAAAAAACAATATCGGTCGGGCTCTAATACATACATACATAAAATTATTGTATTTGACATTTCTGTCACTTCTGAAATGATGGCTACACCCTTGGTGTGACAAAATGTTAGCCTACATAATACATTTAAAGCTCTTTTTTAAAATCTTGGCTTACATAAATTTCTACATATGCCATGTCATGCCATAGCATCATTAAACTAGCATCTAACAATGGACAAAAGTGTTTTTTTTTCTAACCTATTGTTCTGTAAACATAAAGGCTGCTGTGTAATTTGCCCCCTGACTAAGCATTTTAAGAATTTAGGGGAAGCATTTAAATAATCCTGTGAATGCACTTAAAGAATGCAGAATCGAATCGTTGAGAAATTGCAAAAACGAAAACCTATGAATCATGAATCGATTCGCTGTCTACCCAAAGATTCACAGCCCTAATTGTGATGTATCATTATAGTACTGTCTTGCAATATAGCGATTATCGCAGAATTGCTGTATATTATCAGTATCGTATCATATCTTGCTGTCATTCCCACCCTTATGCCGAGTTCACACTGCACGATTTTAGCCCGATTTTTCAATATTAAAAACATTATGAGTCAGCTGTCTTCGGCAGTCCTTAAGGTACCAGCACAATAACACACTCAGCAAAATATCGTCTAATTATCGTTATCGATAAAATCCCATAAAATATCGCGATATCATTTTTTGTCAATATCGCACACCCCTAGTTAACAGACATGGTCTCATTCAAACGATCAGATATAATGGAAACCAGCTGTTATCTGAACAAGTCTGGAGAGCAAAACCACCTCAAAATCTGGTCTGGTTAGATGGTTTCAGTCAGACAGCTCACCATCAGGATGAATGAGGTTGCTGAGCTGCCATATTTGACAGTGCAGCACTGGCGCCACGTGACAGCTTGCTTAAACACGCAAACACCGCACTGTCATCCCACTGAACGCCTGTATTAGTCATTTATCAGATGCTTTCTAACAGCGTGGCTCATTGTGGACTTATTACAGTCCTGCTGGAGTAACCTGAGGTTTACAGTCTTGATCAATAACCGTTAAATGAGACTCGAACCTGCTAACGTTACCTTTCAATGACCAGACCACACTAATAATCAATAAACCAATGGAATCAAGACCACTCCCTAATTGCTAGACAGCCATTGTTTTTAGATTATCGACGAAAATAACATTCAGGGCTCTGTTTAAACGGTTATAACTCATTTTAAATAGAAAGAGTGAATCGTATCGAGCACGTGGAGCCCTGAGCGCGAGAGATGACGCAGGAGTTTAACGTTACCTCAGAGAGTTCCCCGCTTTATTTCACCCCAAAACCGACGCGTTATTTCACTCGATCTTTCTAAATCATCTGCTCAGTTATGATACACTTCGTTTAGAATGACGTTAGTTTGAGATTTGCGGAAAGCGTGGGTATTTTTCTGGAAACAGAAAAGGCCTCGCGCGTTAGGCGACGCACGTCTAGTCAAAATACCTATCTGCATCTGTTTAATCATTATAAAATACCAATAAAACAGTGCTCACCTCTCGCTGATGCGAACAGCGCAGTATAACGCGTTAATAAGCGTAGAAAGTCTTCTTTCTGTGCGAACAGACGAACAGCGCGTGTCGCTCCGGCGCGCACCGGTAGCAAAGATGGCGCCAGAGCGAGTGACGCAAAAGGGACGCGACGCGACCGCTGACGTGCTCAGAGCGCGCCGATGCGAACAGAATTCGAGTGTTTACGATTATATTTGATCCTTTTTTAAGAAAATGTCGCTAAATTAACGTTAGTTGTGAAAACGGAAGAAGAAAGACACTGTTGTGCGATTGTTTTTCAGGGACGGTGAGTAACTGGTTTTGTTTTGCTGTAAAGATTAAAGGTAGCTGTTTTTGAGTAAGCTACCGCATGTTGTTGTTGTAAGAGTAAAACTTAATTAAAGTCCTTGTTATATTTGAAAATGTATTTATTAAGTGGTAAGGTGGATTTGTCATGGTATTGTGATATATGTGCGTGTATATACCACACAGTTGAATTTTCTTAACCATGTTCATTCATATGCAGTGTATATATATATATATATACTGCTGTTCAAAAGTTTGGTATCAGTAAGATTTTTAATGCGTTTTAATGACGTCTCTTCTGCTCATCAAGGCTGCATTTATTTGATCAAAAAATACAGGAAAAACTGTAATATTGTGAACTATTATTGCCATTTAAAATACTGGTTTTCTATTTTAATATACATTAAACTGTAATTTATTTCTGTGATCAAAGCTGTATTTTCATCATCATTGCTCCAGTCTTCAGTGTCACATGATCTTCAGAAATCAGTATAATATGCTGATTTATTATCAGAGCTGGAAACTGTTTTGCTGCTTCATATTTTTATGGAACCTGTGATACTTTTTTTAACATTTTGCAAGATTACTGTTTTTTTCTGTATTTTTTATCAAATAAATGCAGCCTTGATGAGCAGAAGACAGTTCTTTAACCTCTTAAGACCCGAGAAAAGATTTTTAGGAAAAAAATAGTTTTTTTTCATGTCTTTACATTGTTTAGACTCAGAGCATAAAAAAAATGTAAAATGTTTTTTTGTTTGATGAGTGCACACCTGATTACTACATCTTTTGTTTTCCTCTGTTTAGTTATTCATTCATTCATTTTCTTTCTGTGTGAAGGGTTTGGAGTCGACCAGTTGAGAGATGATAATCTGGAGACGTACTGGCAGTCTGATGGCTCTCAGCCACATCTAGTGAACATTCAGTTCAGGTAGAGCTACAGAGAGACTCAAACATTTTTAGACCCAATGCACTGATAAACCGATATATATTTGGCATGGGTTCATTAACCTGACGGCATTTAGACATTTTGATACTGTTGTTTTATCGCTAGTGATTGGCTGGTTAACATTAATGTTTTTTTGGATCAGTTACAAAA